GGGGGGGGGGGGGGTCCTGTATACGTTATATCTGTTGCATTACTTCTCCCTATATATGTTTGTTTGTCTGTATAGCCCAAATTAATCAAATCAAATCATCAAAAAATGTCAAAATCAAGATACAAAGTGTGTTGTCACTTTATTGATCACTTTTTATTTAAAGCTGCAATAATCAGTCAATCAACATTTTTCGAGCAAAAAATGCCAAACATTTGCTGGTTCCAGCTGTTCCAGAAATGGGAGCGTTTACTGCTTTTCTTTGTGATATATGCCGGTATAATGAAAATCATTGAGTTTTCAAATCATTTGAAGAAGTCACCTTGGACTGTGGTAAATTAATTTGGCCATTTTTCACTAGTTTTATAGACTAAGTGATTAATCAATAATGAAAATAAACGTATAAAATGTATCAACAGTTTTAATCTCATTTCAGAGCCTCCCTTACAAAGGCAGTATACTTAAAGGACTGAGCCCCGGACAGCACATCACAATCAAAGGACAGGTCAGCACGTATCCTCACAGGTAAAGTGATAACTGATGATATTCACCTCCATCAGAATTTTTTTTTTTAACCACTAATGTAAATTACATTTCCCCTCTGGCAACATTTCCTTTTAAAAAAATGATTTACCTTTTTAATCTATGTTTGTTCCAGTTTTACAGTGAACCTCTGCAACAGCAGGACAGAGAACATTGCTCTCCATTTGAACCCTCGCATGAAGTCCGGCGTGTTCACCAGGAACTCGTACCTGAGTGAGTCCTGGGGTCAGGAGGAGCGGGAGCTGCCCTTTTTCCCCTTCTCCTCAGGGGAGTACTTCGAGGTAGGAACTGCCTACGACTTACCTTTATTTTGAAGGGCTCCTGCTGTCTGCTGATGTTTACCTTGAGTGTGTAATATCTAACCACAAGTTGATCATTAATTACCTCTCTGTACGTTTGTGCGCTCTGTAATGACCGACTTTTTTCTCCGTGTTATTTCTCTTGTCAGATTCTCATCCTCTGTCAGCCCCATCAGTTCAAGGTGGCAGTGAATGGCTCACACTTGTTTGAGTTCAGACATCGGGTGCAGGATCTGAGCAGCATTGACCAGCTGGAGATCATGGGGGACCTGGAGCTCACTGATGTGAAACTGTGGTGACTCGGGACTCCAGACTTACACAGAAACCAGCGTAACAGACACAACAGTTGTGTTTTGGTTATCGATGCTAAATTAGCTTAGCCACAATGAACCACACTATGAATGCTGAAAAAAGGCCAACTCTGTGCTGACTTCAGGCCAGGTTAGTCTTGCAGCAACCATAGGTCGCTGATTTTAAGCTAGTCTAGCATTCTTGGTGACCAGAGACCATGGACAGGCCCTACCATTGAGTATTAACGGCCCACGTTTCCAGCCCTGGCTAGACGACTGATGCATGAGAGTTAGCTGTGCTGGAGCATCAGACTGTGAGCCACCGTGACTGTTTACAGCTGCAAGTTAGGTTTGCATTGGTCCATTTATTACACTGTCTCTAGTGCATCTCTGCTGTAATACGCCCTTAGTGCACTGTATAATTAAAACAGGAAATGTTAATAAGCACTCGAGTGCTGGCTTTGTTTAAATGCCAAAAGAGTCAGCAAATACAAACAATGAATGACACTGAAGGGCTCCATTCTTTGGAGCGAGTCCCATAAAAGGATAATTTACTGTACAGCTAATTTAAAAACAAACAGTTCTGATCATTACTAAATAATTAGTAGTGGTTATACTCTTTCTTTGGAAATTAAAAATGTTTGAATGTATGGTTAAAACAATTTTCACCTGCTTTTTATTTTTACATACAATTTTAATTAAACAGGACTTGCCTACTTTAGGCATGTCCACATTTCTGTGTTTCATACATTGTTTTTTGTTTTTAAATCAGTCTGCTATAAAGGTTGTAATCCTCAGGATTCTTTAACACATGACAGCGTCCCATGCACTTGACATTTAAGTCAATTTAACATGTAATGGTGCAGAAGAACTCAAGCACAGCACAGTACAGGGTCAGTAAAATATAACTATTTCAATAACAAATTACATTTTGCAATCTTTATGCAAGCTATAGAATATAGTAGAATCCTGCATCTGTGACCATCTGTTGTCTCACTGCTCTCCCACTCAATGCTGCAATGATCCGTCCTGCTAATAAAAAAATATGGGATATTTCTTCTCCGGTGTCAATGTTTCATTTTTTTTCGTTTGCATTGTCTGTGTAATTGTTGTAAAATATGTATGAAAACACTTCTCTATGTATCATAAATGATTTAATAACAAATAAATGTGTTACTATTAACTTTTCCACTGTGTAATATGTTGAGATGGTTCACTTTAATTCTGTGTTCATTGATGTGTTTGACCACTAGGGGGCAGCACAATAGGGCATAAAAACAACAACACAAAGATATTTTTTACATTTAAGTTTGTATGGTGAAGGCTTATCCAGCAGAACTGAAGCAACATTAGCATTCATCTAGAGACATGTTAGTCTCTACCTGATGAATGAAAGTCCAATATTCACTCTACTTTTAGCTCTGCTTTGTTCCCCAGCAGCTCCAGAGGAAATACAGGTCTTCAGATAAATGCTGCAACTTCTGCACCAGTCAGTCTTTATGACAGTAAACACATTCTTGCTGTGACTGGAAATGAGGTTGATGAGAATGGACAGAGTGAACCAAAACAGTGAAGTTGTGGGTTGGAAAAAAACAGCAAAG